ACAGCTGTGGAGATTGTTCGACAGAAGTAAAAAAGAGGATGACCATAGCAATGCAACGATTAAACGGCTTTAAAAGTCTATGGTTAAGAACCAGCAAGGAAATCAAAGTCGAAATTTTGAGAGCATGCATCTTCCCTGTAGCAATATACATATGCGAGTCGTGGACTATCTCCCAATCCTTAAGGAAGAAAATAGGGATTTCTGAGCTGAAATGCCATAGAAAGATTCTCAAAATACCATGTACAAAGAAGAGAAGAAATACTGACATTCAAAAAGATCTGAACATCAAGTAAGACTGGATAGTAAACAGCATCTTGTTTTAGAAGCTGAAATATTTTGGCCATATCAAGCACCATGACAGATTGAAAGAATATAATAGCAGAAGGCAGGGTACCAGAAAGGAGGGGCAGGGGCTGACCAACACAAAGATGGACACAGGATATAATAACTCCTTGGATGTGAAAGTGCAATGTTCTGTAAAGAAACTGCTATATTGATGATGGCGATATGATGGTAACTCCATCTTGATCAAAGACTTGAGATTATGTGAGATGATAAGCCATAGTGCCAGAAAGCATTTCACCATTTGTAAATGGTTTCATGAAGCTAATTAGTTCTATTTCTTGTTCTAACATTAACATTTTATGACATTCTAAAAGCAAAGAAAGGCATCTCACCATCCCCTGGTAAATGTTCCATGCTATATTCCCCAGACAAGATGTTTGCTTGTCTTTTCAGTGAATCCCCAAATGGGTGCTTGCCTCCAGTCAAAACATAGTAAAACACACAGCCAGTGGAGAAAATGTCCACAGCACAGGTCTGGTCACAAAAACAACAATTACAGTATGATGCAAACATTAACCAACTACTTCTACTGTGATAGGTGAGACAACTTGGGGAAAAAAAACACTAGATAACGAACGTAATGGAATGTTTCTGTCATGCCCCTAGTGCAGATTATTCTTTTCCTATCACATCCATAATGCTGATAATTCTTTTCCTATCATGTCCATAATGCAGATGATTCCTTTCATATCATGCCCCTAGAGCTGATTATTCTTTTCCTAACATGCCCCTAGAGCTGATTATTCTTTTCCTAACATGCCCCTAGTGCAGATTATTCTTTTCCTATCACATCCATAATGCTGATAATTCTTTTCCTATCATGTCCATAATGCAGATGATTCCTTTCATATCATGCCCCTAGAGCTGATTATTCTTTTCCTATCACGCCCCTAGTGCAGATTATTCTTTTCCTATCATGCTCCTAGTGCAGATTATTCTTTTCCTAACATGCCCCTAGTGTAGATTATTCTTTTCCTATCATGCTCCTAGTGCAGATGATTCTTTTCTTATCATGCTCCTAGTGCAGATGATTCTTTTCTTATCATGCTCCTAGTGCAGATTATTCTGTTCCTATCATGCCCCTAGTGTAGACTATTCTGTTCCTATCATGCCCCTAGTGTAGACTATTCTGTTCCTATCATGCTCCTAGTGCAGATTATTATTTTCCTATCATGCCCCATAGTGCAGATGATTCTTTCCTATCATGCCCCTAGTGTAGACTATTCTGTTCCTATCATGCCTCTGACATATGTCCTCCAATTTCTGTCCCTTGGACAAGTCTGTCTGTTTTTGTTATACCCCATGAACAAATCTACCAGTTTCTGTCATACCCTAGGACAAATCTACCTGTTTCTATCATACCCAGTGGACAATATATACCCGTTTCTGTCATACCCCTTGGACAAATCTAATATTTCTGTCATATCCCTTGAACAAACCTACCAGTGTCTTGTCATAATCAAAGATAAATCTATCTGTTTCTGTCATATCCAAGCAAGGATAAATCTACCAGATTCTGTCATATTTAAAGGATAAATCTACCTGTTTCTGTCACACCCCTAGAAGAAAACTACCTATTACTGTCATAGCACATAACCTCTGGTTTTTTAATCACACTCCTAGGATAGATGTTCCTGGTTCTGTCATGCCTCTAGCACTCCCACACACACACAGGTGAACGACCAACATCACACCTTCTATATACACGCACACACAAACAGGCACTAACTACAGAGAGAGGGGAGAGGGAGGGGGAGGGAGGGGGGGGGAGAGAGAGAGAGAGAGAGAGAGAGAGAGAGAGAGAGAGAGAGAGAGAGAGAGAGAGAGAGAGAGAGAGAGAGAGAGAGAGAGAGAGAGAGAGAGAGAGAGAGAGAGAGAGAGAGAGTTGATAATACTGATAATGATGTTGCAAGCAATAAAATATATGTAGTTTATCATTTTCTGAACCAATAGAAATCTATAACACTGCAGCATTATGTGGCTTGCACACACTGATGACATCAAAAAGGAAGACAAGTTAAAAACTGGCAGAAAATAAAAACTACAAGACAACTTAAGCCCTGACCGTTCTCTGAACTGTGTCCAGCATCTCTGGTGCTATCCACCCATCAGTGCCTGCAGCTCCTGATCTGTGCGAGAAAGAGAACCTGTCTGCCGCAAGCTTCTTACACAGACCAAAGTCTGAGATCATCACACGTACATGATTTTTACAGCCCGGATGGGATATTAAGACATTGTGAGGTTTTATGTCTCTGTGAACTGAAAGTGCAAAAACAAGAGAAAATTTTAAACAATGGTCTTGGTCTTTATTTACTGGATCTCCCAGGTCGACACAGCCTATAATGGGTACTAGGAAAAGTCCTAGGAAGTAAATGTGGCTGGCATGATGTTGACCATACTACCCATTCAGTGTGTATAAAAAATATGGGATTGGCACCATATGTCCTATGCGGCAATGACCTTCATTAATAGTGTCCTTCACTTTTGTTTTAGTTTATTTATTTATTTATGTCAGGTCTTGGTCAGATATGACTCAGCTACTGTACAACAGTAGCCTTTATAATCTGTGTCTTCTTTTAAAGCCAAATGTTGGGCAGCGTATACCAAACCTGACATCCCATACTGTGCCAACAGCTTTGAGCAGAGGAGTGCATTAGGGAGGATACTAGCCTTATCCTAGGGAGAAGAAAGGCAACCTGAAAACTTTATGCTACGGCAGAGCAGATCGGGTCCTTAGCCTTGGCTGGCAGCTGGTCTAAGAGGGAAGTTCTGACACGCGGATAGACAGAGCACTGCTTTTCTGATCCAGCAGTTTCTGCAGCCTGCTCTGTTCCAAAAGCACTGTTATCTTTCCTTTGGTCAAGTGAGGGATCATGATGCATCAGCAACATATGGTCTCTACAATACTGCCCAGGCTTTGAGCTATAATGAGGAGGAACTTCAGTCCCATGCTTCCTCATAGAACAACATGACACTATTGTCTAAAACAGTGGCTCTCAAACTTCCTAATGCGGGTGACCCTTTAATGCAAGTTCCTCATATTTTAGGAACCCCCAACCATACAATTATTTTTGCTACTACTACATAACTTCAGTGAATATGTGTTTTCAGATGGTCTTTGGCAACGCTTGTGAAATAAATAATTCGACCCACAAAAGGGTTGCAACCCACAAAAGAGTCGCAATGCACAGGCTGAGAACCCCTGGTCTTGAAAGATGCCAACAACAACAGTTTTTTTTTTTAAAAAACCTGAAAATCATAGCCCATATTTCAGTTAACTGAGACTACTGTTATTCTAAAATGTGTAAATTTACATCACACTTTAGAAAGTGGGCTTAGGAGAAGGGAGAAGAAGACTTAAACAGTCGATGTTCAGTCAGCTGGCATCTTTGCATGAAGACAAATAATGGAAGAGACTGCTGACAAACTTGATTACTACAGCATAATGCCCAGCGATATTCAAAAACGATGGTATATTAAACATGAAGACTAAAGTGAGTTCCTTCTGGTTGTGACACTATCCTGTGAATGTCAATGTATCCGTATTTGTGTAGTGGCATGGTCTCACAAAGTGTAGTTAAATTCCACTGGATCTATGGGTCTGTAGAGTGTTTAGCAGGACCAGATATGAATACAGTCAAGTACACTTTAGTCAAACTCAAATAAGTCGAATTTCGGTTAAATCGACATGACCAGCTAGGTCCTGGCAATTTTCTCTATTGTGTGTGCTGTCTGGATAAGTACAAATCCTTATAAGTAGAAGCATTTTCTTAGGTTCCTGCGACATCTACCTATCCAGACTCAACTGTATATTAATTAAAAATAGGATTTAGAGGAGTTTCATTATGACCCCAATGCGTGTTTTAAAGCCCCATTAACGTTATATCAAATTTTCCCAAAAGCCTCGGCATGAGTCACCAGATACATTGCAGCGACGGTCTGTAAATAACTGTATAAAGTAAATATTGTATGTTTGTAATGGTTCATTTTCTGCCATTTTTTCTCTGAAATTTTGTTCATCACTCTGTTGAAGCTTAGCACAGTATGCTAAACTAACTCAGAAACTTATCATAACTTTGGAATTTGTTAGGAAATTGAACAAACTTTAAAGTATTATTCTCAAATTTGGATATTCACCACTCTTGTGGCTGCAAACCATGGTAAGTGAAGAATGATTTTGTAAAATTTTGTTGTTGTAAAATTAACCCCCGCTGAATACTGCTTTCATACTAAATATAACAGTCCTAAACATACACTTATCATTATATTCCAAAGGTACATTCGTTTCTTTTTAACTCTTGGAGTTCCAGGGGGTTTAGCATCACAGGCCCAAATGGTAGTCAAGAGAGATGTAAAATCGGCGCATCATGCGTTCATTGGGCCTCTAGGTAAGAATCTATGAACGTATGACGCATTCCTTGGGACTCAAAGAGTTAAAAAAATATATATACTTTTGTAGAGATTAGAAGTATATTACATTCTCTACTGCCCTTTTTGTACACCACTCCCTCTGCCTCTTTTGTAAGTGGAAATTAATGTGGGCCAAGTCTGTCAAAAATTAATGGGCCTGAAAGAGTTAACACGCAACATTGTCCTTGCAGGCAATTACTCTAACCTCTGCAGTTATTGATAGAAATAAACAGAAAAGCTCTCACCTATATCTAGTGAATGCAGGTGAGCAATGCCAGCCATTGCCTGCTCTAGGACATCATTAGCTTTCAACTCTACAGGTGGTGTGTACCTGTGCTCGATGTAGTCTTGAACTGTGGCTGCACACAGCTCCAGGGCAATGTATCGGAACTGACCATCTTCTTCCTGTTTGTTACAGACAGAATAGGAGTGTGAATCAAGAGTGTGACCACAGATTATGCTGTGTGTATTTATTCACTTATTCTATACCAAGCAATTCACCGTATGTTTGTTGCATACTCCCACCCTGTATCCCTTCCTTGATTTCTTTACAGCTGAGATGAGATTCCTGAGACGTACTGAGAACAGCGATTAGAAATGATGAAATGTAAAAAAAAAGTGGGAGTTGCAGCTTCAGATTTAATTAGAAAACAAGTGAAGTGGTTAGGTTATTTAACCTGGCTACCAACCAACATCATACTATAAACAGCAAGGATGTATAGATAAAGTGGAAATCAAAAGAGGCCTATCACACAAAAAACAGAATCAATAACAGAGGAAATGGGAACCCCTGTATACGTAGCATACAAATGGATATGCACCCGTTGTCTATACTTCTCAGTTCAACTTGTGAACAACAGTGGCGACTGCTCTCAAGAAGTCAGAGGAAGACTTGCATTAGCAATGCAGAGGTTAAACAGCCTGAAGAGCCTATGGCAAAGCACTAGTAAATTGGTTAAAGTAAAAATCTTGAGATCATGCATTTTTCCTGTGGCAACTTACGGTAACGAGTCCTGGACTCTCACTCAGTCAATGAGGAAAAAAGACTGGAGCTTTTGAATTGAAATATTAAAGAAAGATTCTTAGAATATCATGGATCAAGAAGAGGAAAAACATCAACATTCTAAACGAGTTGAAAATCAAGGCTTATAAACAGCATCCTGTCCTAAAAGTTAAAATATTTTGGCCACATCAAGCACCATGGCGGCTTAGAGAAGACGGTGATAGAGGGTGCAGTTTGCGGGGGGTGAAGCAGGGGTACACCACCGCGAAGATGGATACAGAACATAGAAGAAGAATTGGCACTGAAAGCACATGGGACCGGAGAGCTGGCTAGGTAAATGGATACTTTCAGGCATGCCATGAAGAGAGCGAAGTTCTGTAAAGGACTTGCTAACTGATGACGATGATGTTCACCATGTGCGTTTCGTGACCCTATTATGAAGAACAAATAGCCCCACTGCCCCCCCCCCCCCTCCACCACACCCCAACAAACTTATTGTAGAAGGTGATTAATCAGGGGTGTTTGTTTCAAAGCTGGAGTGCATCTGCCTGAGAGGAAAGGAACCAACAGTCTGCATATAAAATAGGCAGATCTGTAAAACGGAAGTCCATGCAAAACTCACATTCTGAATCAAGACAAAAGTCCAGGAGAGGATGAACAAGCATTAATTTTTCACCAGAGTTTACAGCTGGTAATCGCTAAGAAGAAGGAGAAACTTCTCTGTAATACACAATTTCAGAAAAGATTTTTTTTTTCAGTGTATTAACTTTTTCCTTTCCTGGAGACTACTTTTTTTTGTGAAGATACCCAAGAGGTATACACTAAGAAAAAAAATTATGATTGCATTACTTTGAAAGAAGCTAAATTATAGTGGAAGCTGACAATGACCAAGACCTTAGAGGTCCCAACAGAACTTGTCACTGTGCTACCGTGTACTTGCTAGGATCGTGAACAAATATTGCTGGAAGTAAAGACGAGATCATTTTTCATGACAAGAAAGAAAGAAAAGGAAAGAAAGAAAGAAAGAAAGAAAGAAAGAAAGAAAGAAAGAAAGAAAGAAAGAAAGAAAGAAAGAAAGAAAGAAAGAAAGAAAGAAAGAAAGAAAGAAAGAAAGAAAGAAAGAAAGAAAGAAAGAAAGAAAAAAGAAAGAAAGAAACCTGGGCTATCCTCCGACTAACGGTCGGCAAAGACGGCGGCCGCAAAATATCCAGTCGAGCCACAGTCACGTGTCTATTGCGCATTTGCGGTCACAAGCACATTGCGACAAAACTAGGATTAGTATCTGTTGACAATTTCGAGAAACGGAACAAACCCCCCGAGTTAAACTCGCCGCCAAGAGTCTCCCCCCGCGCCGCTACGCGTGGCGCGTATGGGGCTAAACTAGATGGCTGGGAGCCACGAGCAGCAACTTCAGCATCTCCTGCAGCTTTGCTCGTGAGTCCTAGCCATCTAGTGAGCGGCGTGGGGGCCACTCTCGGCAAATTAAGTCGCTGGAAGTTCGAAATTGACACGTGAGTGAGGCCCTGTTTTTGGTCGCCATCTTTTGTGCCCTGTTATTCGAGGATAGCCGGTCTGTGGGTGCTACTAAAAAGAAAGGTGCGTTATCAATGCGGTACGAGCCGCGCCTTGTTCCGATCGTACTTAGCCAAGTTTCAATGGCGTAACAGCCACAAACAGCAGATTTTCTAGCACTATTTAGAACGTCTGTGCCATAATTTCCAGATATAAAGGCATACAATTATCGGTAAGTAGTTGATTTGATATAAAATTTTTGTCGCTCCTTATTAGTTTTCGTTCCTTATTAGTTTCCACTTCAATTTTTGACTGTTTACAACACATGACACGTGACTGGCTCGACTGTATATTTTGCGGCCGCCATCTTTGCCGACCTTTGGTCAGAGGATAGCCGAAACCTGACCTTAAACAAAGAAGGAAAATGTGAAAATAATTATAACATTCAATAATATTCAATCTAGGAATAATTCTCTGACTGAAATATGAATTATGTGGACACACATTATACTGGAGATTGGCACTTACAGTACAGAAATAACGTATCACATTGGGATGTTGGTCGGACTCCCGAAGCAGCTCCACTTCTCTGTCTGCGAAACTGAAGCACTCTGGGAGCAGCCGTTTGACAGCCACGTCCCGGTTATCAAATCTTCCACTGAGGATATGAAGTACAATTATGTACACCCACAAATGGAAAAGTAGAATAATTTTTTTTTCATTTTAAACAAAGACAATATAAATTGAAGAAGATTGCTGTCATTAAAAAAAAAACTATTGCCAAAGCTTGTTTGAAAAACAAAAAAAGAAAGAAAGAAGGAAAGCCCTTGTTTGACCTCAGAAGTTCACTTGTGGGTTCCGTGGCCTCATTTTGGGGTAAAAAAGAATAGACCCACTGCCCCACTAACAAGCATGTCATACAAGGCAACAAATTAGGGATGTTTCAAAGTCAGAATGCATCTACCTGTGAAGTGATGAAACAGCTGTCTGCATATGAATAAACCAGATCTGTAAAAGGGATATGCACATAAACCTCAAAATCTGGAACAAGACCGAAGCTCAGAAGTTGATGATCAAGCAGAACTTTCTGTCTGTGCTTATAGCCAGTGAATGGAGAGAAGGATATCAGTAGTGTATTCTATATATATATAGTGCTAGCAATGTGGTCAACATCAGGATGGCCCCCTTTACTTCCTAGGAAATGTCCTGGTAGATACTTTTGGTTGGAAGAGCATCTGTATAAGAAATTAAATATGTCAATTAGTTAGTCAACGGATAATCCTCACTGCACATCACACCATTCAATCCATACGTGCGGGGATCCCCTTCTCAGTAAATCCTGAAATCCTGCAGTGTGTAGCGGCAGTGTGTAGACACCAGTCTTGTGTTGGTTTCTTCATGTTTTGTTTTTGTTTTTTGTTTTTGTTTCCTGCATAGTGGTCTTGTCTGGCCACACCCTTTTAACATGCTGTTCTTGCAGTCTGGTCATTGCTGCAGATTCACAGTCTTTACATGGTCTCGCAAATGTCTTACTTCTTGAAGAGCATTCAGAATATCAACATGTTTCATGATTCATTCGCCCTCCACAGTAGCTTTACCTGCAAGCCTATCAGCTTGCTCATTTCTGTGCCTGCATGTGTACCATGTCAGCCCCAACTGCCTCAGAGACTCCAACCACCACTGTCTTTCGACCCAGCCTAACCGTATCTTTCTGAGCACACTTACTAAGTCACTAAGAAAACATGCATGGGCAAAGGTCTGTCTCCAGCCAGGTTATTACTTTGGTCTCTGCCATCACATCTATAGTCAGATCCCAGGTAGTCAAAGCAAAAGCACCAGAACTTTGCTCTGCAATTTTAACTTCATTCTAAACCCATTAGCTTCTCATGCGATGACAGCATTCCCGCCCCCCCCCCTCCCCCAAAGTTCTTGAAAATCAAAGCCTGCACTTCTGCCTCCACATCTTCTGTCTAATCGGCTGCAAATAAAAAACAAATTGAGCGTATAGCACTCTGCTGGCTGGCAATTGTACCTATCCCTCACCAGGTTTTATGTTCTCAAGTAAATACACCTGCTGAATAATATCCTCGGCCTGGCCCATACACAATTTTCCTCTTTTTCAACCTGCTGCCTTATTTCTTCTCTGAACAAGAAATGGTATATGATTAGCAGTACTCGAGTCAAATGGCTGTAAAGAGGCATGACGATCAACACCATACAGCAAAGACTATACAAAGAAGATACAAAAATAATCCTTCTATGCTGATACCTGTAGACAAACGTCCCCTCACAGCCGTGACCTAGCTTCTTCTGTGGGTTGAAGGCGATTTTGCCAACTTTAACCAAGCCACTGGGATCAGTATGCCCTAAAAAACAACAGAATAACATATAATTAATAGAGATACAACGGTGTGGTGACTACAGCATTCACACAGTGGTCTCGGGTTCGATCCCTGGCAGAGGCAGTGTTAATGCATTTTTGGACTTGAATGACTGGGGTTGCATATATCTCATAAAATGAATACCCTCAATCTGATCTGCCTCAAAATATGAGCATCTGAGATCTGACCATGACAGAAAAGATAAACTGGGCCAGAAAAAGCATGAGGTAGGAAACTAGCAAGGAAGTGAGTTTCCTTCGGGAAGGTCATGATGACAGGAACATATTCTGTAAAAGACCTGCTACATGATGATGATGACGATGATGGTGACGATGATGATGGTGGTGGTGGTAGTGGAAAAATCTATTCCATTCTATATATGTATATTTCAACCTCAATCAATGCAGATTTTTCAATGGATCTGGGCTCCCACATTGATCCAGCTTTAACCCTTTTGACCCAAGAAGCCACAAAACCAACACTTTTTGATGATACCATTTCCCCCATGACAGCCACCTTCCTGACTGGCTACAGAGACATGAGGCATCTAGCTCTAACAGAATTCCTTGCATCTGCAGAACTGTTCATCATGACAGGGGATGACTACATTTACTAGAAAATAGCAACAAGGGGTGCTGTGGGGGTGGGGAAGGGAGTGTGTCTCTACTTAAAGGTTCTACTTACAGAAACTTCATATTTTTCTCATTGGCTATACTGGTTACTGGGCGGTCGAGTTAAAGGGTCAGTTGACAAATTATAATTAGTTTACAATACCCCAAGGGTATTTGTTCGTGTTTTGATAATACATTTGTGCAATTCTGTTTTTGATATGTGTAAATGGTTGTTTTTCTAAGAATTTTTTTCTCTCAGGAAAATCCCCCAAAAAAAGTAAAGTATGGAAAGGCTGGCTTTTTTTCGTAGACCACCAGGATAATAGGCCTATTATGTGTACATGGAAATGTTATGGAAAGTAAAGACAGCTGATGGGTATGAGACATGTTGTGAGGACTAGTTTGGACCTATATTCAATAACTCATTGTTCTGCTGTGCCATCATATGTCAAACAGGGCTCGTGGTCTATTCCTCCATTCTATCCTGTGCAATCACTTGGATAACTTGGATGGAATCCAGGCCGGAACCTTTGACTTCTCAACATCTTGTCAGATATATGTGGACATTTGAAACCTCAAACACCAGATTTCATTACTGTCACTTTCCCAGTTGACACTGTTCATAAATGAGATGACGGACAAATCTATCCCACTGCATCAAACAGGTGGATTCTAAAACCTGACTTGCATTTCCAGGCTGACCCAGAAATTTGGTTTTGAGGTTTTGAACAACGGATCAACATCATGGCACACGGGCAGTAACTCATAAGTTCATTCACTTCTGGACTTTAGTCTTGTTACAGACCTAGTTGATTTGTAGGCAGATTTTTGGTTCCTCGTCTCTCAGGTAGATGCAACCCGACTTTGAAGGAATCCCCTAATTAGTCTATTCTTACAACAAGCTTGTTAGGAAGGCATTTGGTCTATTCTTGTCTGTTCTCCCCCCCCCCCTTTCCCCCCATAAAGGGGTGCTGGAACCCACATTCAAGGCAGGAGAGTTCATTTTTATAAAGTGTATAATTTTAGTACTTATATAAATATATGTTTAGCATCATGAGTATATCTATTAGACTTCATCATGTATCTTAAACTACTATGATCAGTACTTACTTTCTTGAGGTCTCATATTCATATTAGCAATGGAATACATAGGATGTGTAGAGGTTTGCACCGACTGCTGACTTTGCTGCCCTTTCAATATTTTCTTCAAAGCAAGAGGAAGAAAGTTCTCATAACGCTGAAATTGAAAACATTTTCCTTTGATTGTGAACACATGGTAACACCCAAATGATTTTTACAAGGAACAGACACATTTAAACTTTAAACAAGAATTTTCCCATGCATTATCATCATCATCCTCTTTAAGAAACTCTGGAATTATGATTTCCCTTTTAACATTTCCTGTGTTATCAGGGCTCACAAGAGAACACAGATTAGCAACTCTAATCTTTGATGCAAGACTTGCAAGTTCATTCTACAGAAAACTTTAGCTGCCAAAATAAAAATAACAATGACAATGAACAAGTATAAAGACAACAACAAGAAACAATACCAAAAAATGCAATGATGATTCAACTATGATGAAAAAATAGAGAAAGCTCTTGCTTACCCACAGTGCAAAAACTGCTAACAGGATGATGAATCCCAAAAGTACAGTGATGGCTACAGAATCTGCTTTCACAAATGCAATGATGTTCCACATATTTCTGGAAGACAATGTCTGGTTTCCTGCATAGTCCGGCCCGCCTGCTGGGTTGGGGATGATTTTATCATCACTCTTGTCAGATATTTGGAAAACCGAAGAAATTCGAGCTCCTGACTTCTCTGGCATTTCATGGTAACCTACAAGAGAGGAAATGGTGTCGTAAATTTTTCTTCAGCTGAAATAGATGACTAATTTTATACCATATTCTTTTAAAAACCTGAAGAAGATATGGAACTCTAAACTGCATAGTTTTAAAACAAAGTTAGGTATTTTCAATTCTATTATTAGTTCAATACAAGCCAGTGCAAGTTGGAGAATGACTAAAGACATGGAGCAAACGTTAAAATGTACCTGAAAACAGATTCCAGAGGAAAATGCTGAACTTAAAATGGGGTGAATTGAAGAAATATCAGATGTCTGGCAACCACTGGTAATAACAGTTATAAGACAAAAAAGATGGTGCTATATTAGACATCCAAAAAAGAAATGGGCAGAGAATCATCAAACAGGCACAAAAACTGAAATTAAAGGGATTGAAGAAGACATCCAAAAGAAACCCTGAAATAAATGTTGATGAGAGAGGCCAAAGGTGCTGAACTGGATTCTATTCATTATATCAAAGAGATTGCACAGGTTTCAATAGAATGGAGAAGTAGACTGTGAGCCCTATGTGACGCATAATGGCACAACTAGACAATGAAGATGATGATGTTACCATTAATTTAAGCACCTAATACATTAAATCTTGATCATTGGGCAGCAGAAAAAGAATTCTTGCAAGTTTATCAAAAGGAAGGAAGGAAGAATAAATGAACAAATGAAAGAACAAACGAAAGAGAGGTGGAGAGAGATGATGAGAGACGATGTAAGATAGTTTGGCATCATGGCATAGATAGCTTGGTACACCATATCAGGCAATCTTTACTTCCCAAATTCTCTACCTATCATGCACACCAGTACAAGCAAATCAGTGAATCAGTCTGAATCGTCATGAAGTAGGTCACACCCTACTGCAACAAGAGTTTAATCTGCTATACAAATCCACTTCTTTACCTATCATGAGCACAGCTCCTCCTCTTCTGATGGTGGTGGCTTTAACACTTTCTTCATGAGACTGCGAGTTAACATGCTTGTCTGCTACTGATCTCAGCTTGGCTAGGTTTGTGTGTGGACCTTCAATTTGAAGACGGCTATTTGTTCTGACCTAATTTCAGAACATATAAGATAAAGTGAATAGAGGATGATTTGTCATGTCTGCAGAGATGATGGGTATATGATGCTAGCCCTGCATTGTTTATTGATCAATCAACACCTGATGATACCAACCGCCTTTGCCTTCAGAACATTTCATGGTGTTCACATTAAGCTGGCTCAACCTAGAAGCTTGGGTCAATTTTATTTAAAACACCCTATCCAAAGAGGTTTCAAACATACGAGCATTGGAGATTAGTGATTAGTAAAGACTATCATCACAGCACTTCAGACAGACCCATAGCTGCTCCGATCTCCTCCTCAGTAGCCCCACAAGAGTTAAACAACTGATCACACCCATTCTGGATTGATTAATCAGACATCCTGTGCCTCTGGTGAAATATTCCATGTCTGGCTGTCCCAGGCTGCACCTCGATGTCCACCAACCTAGACAAAGATACTGAGTCTTGCCTGTTGTCATGATCTTCTTTACAATATGCATTTCCAATAGCATTAATTAAATCACTCCTGTCCACTGCCGGGCCAGTCATGGTAACTACCCTGTCCAATAGATAAACTGCACATTCATTGCCTTGAACACCTGCATTGCCCAGTACAAAAATAAAAGTTAGGTGAGTTATTTTTGATGACCATTGGGTTGATAGGCAAGCGAGCTAGCTACAGTACTACAGTGGTTCTCTCTTCTTCTTCTTCTTCTTCTTCGCGTTCACCAGCTGTACACTCTGGCAGAAAGTTCTGGTTGCTCGTCCACTACTGAACTGCAGTCCTGTTCCAGAACCTGAGTGTTGCGTGTGCATCAGTTTTACAGATCTCATTCTCTTGAATACAGACTGCTGGTTCCTTGCCTCTCCGGCAGATGCACTCCGACTTCAAAGGAAGCTCCCCAATTAGTCGACTCTTACGACATGCTTTTAGGGAGGCAGTGGGTCTATTCTTGTATCCCCCACAATGGGACCCCGGAACCCACACGGGGCAGTGGTTCTCTCTGTATATGGTGCTCATTCGAAATTGTCATAAACCTCTCAATCTTTGACAGGTGATGTGGTGAATATCTACTATCTATCTGATACAACACCAGCTACCTTTAATTTAGAGAAGATTTTCTGGTACCTATTTAACCCTCTCATCCTGAGAAAGCCATTTTTCCAACTGTTATGGGTTTTGGTTGACATGATGTCTTTAGACAGTATCCAATACTGGCTGTAACTGTACAGGGTGTACACATGGTGGGTATGATTCTTTGTGCTGGCTTTTTTTTTTTTTTAGGTGTGTTTCTGAGACATTATTTGGGGTGAAACAAAAATCATTTGTGTGTGTGTGTGTGTGTGCACACACGCGCATGTGCGAGTAGGTGGATGGGTGTGGTCATTGTGATATAATACTAAATTTATGATGATGTTAACTTGGCCCTGTGTTAACAAAACCCTTGCTTTCTTGGTCAAAGGAAAGGAAAGCCTTTATTTCTTTGCTCCATTTGTATTGGTGATTACCCGTGTGTATTGTTGCGTACATAAAAAAAATCCCTCGGCAGTTCGAAATCAAAAAAGAGTAGCCCAACAGCGATTGCCGGACAAAATTTGGAGTTCAAAATCTACCCAAAGTATTTCAGGATCCTTGCCGGTGCTACAGAGTTTGTCCACTGTGCTGAGATTCTTCGGACAGGCTCGAGTCAGAAGTAGAGCGGAGCACTTATGGGTTACTACCCTTGTGCCATGATGTTAATGCATCACCTAAACTTAAACTTTGGTGGTTAATTGAGATGATTTTAAATTAATTTTTTCAAGTCCCCTTTGCGTAAAATAAAATAAAAACTCTATATAATGAAAATCAATTATAGTGACCTGGAGGCTGCAATGATGCAGTAGCTAGAAGACTTGTCTGTCTGCTCACTGGTAGTTGGTTTTAACCTCTGGATTTTAATATTTAAAAAAAAAAACTAAGATTCAAAATTTTAACTGCTTCCTCTTTCTTTCTCTAGTTTTTTTAGGCCAGAGTTTCAAAGAATTATAAAGAAAGATTTATTTTCAATAAAATTTTGACAAATGGTTTTTTTTTTTTTTTGAAATATTTTTACAGAATGAAAGGGTTATTAGGGCTGTGTGAAACTAGCAGACCAGATCCACTGTGTTGAAAATCGCCAGTTGGAATCATAAAAGTAAATGCTGAAGAGAAGAATCTTTATGCTTCAATTTCAATATAGAAGAACTTTTAAAATGCTACAGAAAGACAAGAACGTCTGTTCAATATAACTATCTGATGTCACAACTATCCGTTTTTCACGTCTCTTTACCCTGTTCCGCCAGGTTGGGGGCTGAAGTGTGGTCAGGAAAACCTGGTCAATATAACTATAGTATGTATTTTATGACCCTCACCCCCTTTTTCCGGTCAATACAACACAGTTTATGATGCCACCATATCAAAATATTCTAAGACTTCCAAGTTTTGTAAAATGATTACTTACACTCAGTGTGGGCACAGCCTCATCAACCAGTGTAATTAAGGCGTACGCTCCCTGCTCTGACTCCCCAATATACAGCTTTGGACTGAAGATGACAGATATTCATTTATTGAAAAATTACTCTTAATATCTTCAGATTAAAACCCACACCTGGGATGCTGATTACAGAGAGGACAGGGAATAGCATCATCATTGACAAGTTTTTCAATTTGTGTAAAAGTATGTAAAGATAATTTACTGTGGTAAAACATCTATAAACATAATGCACTATCCTGCAAATTACATTATGTACTGCATATACAAGTAGCCATGGCGGAGCAGCTAGACGCTCGCCGTGGATCGGAAGGTCGTAGGTTCACTTCTTGGCAGAGCCGGACTTTTTTCAAAAATGACCTTGGCTCCCAGGTCGACCCAGCCTTGAGTGGGTACCGGGTGCATTCCTGGGAAGTAAACGCGGCTGGCGTGATGCTGACCACATTGCCCATTTTGTGCTGATTCGTCTATAAAAATATAGGTCTAAGCCTAAATGCCCTATACGCCTAAAGGCGTGGAAAAGGGTCCTTTACTTTACTGCATATACAAACCATTTGCACTCTACAGAAATCATGTGAATATCGTGTACTGTGCATTAAACATGTAAATATCATGTACTGTGCAGGAAATCATGTGAATGTCATGTACTGTGTAGGAAATCATGTGAACATCATGTACTGTGCAGGAAATCATGTGAACATCATGAACTGTGCAGGAAATCATGTGAATATCATCTACTGTACATGAAACATGTTACTATCATGTACTGCAGGAAATAATGTAAATATATACTGTGTAGGAAATCGTGTGAATATCATGTACTGTGCATTAAACATGTAAATAGTATTACTGGGCAGGAAATCATGTGAATATCATGTACTGTGCAGAAAATCATGTGAACATCATGTACTGTACAGGAAATCACGTAAATATAAGTTACTGTGCACAAAAAAATATGTAAATATAAAGTACTGAGGATGAAAACATATAAAAATCATATACTGTTCACAAAGACATGTGAATATTGTATACTGTGTATGAAAACAAATATAACAAATTTGCTGCGCTTGAAAACAAATATCATATAATGTGTATGAAAATAAGTAAATATAATGTATTTTGCAGGAAAACATTTAATTATCATGTGTTGTGCACATACAAGTGTAAATATTATGTGATGCATTAAAAATAAGACACCTTGAATTTATCCCCTTTTATGTTCAACATTTTCCTCCGGCATTTGTTTAACTTTCATTTTATGTCTTTAGTACTTACTAGAATGTCTGCCTAATATTTAACATCATAAATCTATTCTTCCAGTGAGTGGACGCCAGCTGACCAGTCAGATGGTCAAGTGTCTCTGCGGCAAAGCTCACAAATGGCACTCGCTGAAGACCCTCATGATGCATCTGATACATGGCCACGACTGGCGAGTCAAACTCGTGCTTCCACAAAATTTCACCTGAAAAAGATCACATAATTATATCAGATGTGCATTCAAAATTAACTTGGAATGCATGCATACTTTCTGTTCTTGTGTGACGTATGAGAAACTGTTGTAGCCTAGAAGATGGTGATAACTTTAAAAACTGCCACCATATTCAGCTTACACATACAAGTTTGGCTTAAGACAGTGAGTGTCATGGAGGAATATCATCAGTGGAATTGATCGAGAACATCAGAGACCGAGATCTGTGGAGACGCATGAACGCCTTTGCCAACTGGCAAGGCACTCGTTGATGATGATGTGAAAAGTTTAACTTACTGACTTTAAATCATATTTTAATATGCTGGATACAAGTGAAGTGATGGCATGGTAGTTTGTTTACTTACGTGCCAAGACAGTGGTCCAAGTTCAATATCTAACAGAGGTATGACTCTTTTTGTGACCAGCATGGCTTTGGGGAGGTTCTTCTTCTGCACTCACTCTTAAAAAAGCCAGTATAACAGGTCTAGTTTCAGCGCACTCTAATTAGTCACCTTTTATGACATGCTTGTAAGGGAGGCAGTGGGTTAATCTGATTTTCCCCAGCATGGGAAGGAGAGGCAGCTTACAGAACCCACACAATATTGGTGCAACAAGACATGATCAGGGGATCTGGCAGATATCCAACACTCAGTGAAGGGGAGAGACGGATATACAACCAGACTGTTACTGGTACCATTGGCAGTGTATATCTGCCCTTGCTGCCAAAGATGGGGACACAAGACTTCTGGGAATGTCTCCAGTGATATGATCTTGGTTCTTTAAACTCATAATTCAAAATGTTCTTTCTCAGACGATGAGGAAGGTAAACTTGCCATCCTCCTCATATATCATAGGGGGCTGCGTGGTCTTGAGGCATGGTGTCCACCTCAAGTGCTTGAGGTTCAGAATTCAATCCCCGGTAAGGGCTGGGATTTTTTCACATGGAGTTGGACTTCTAGTAATTCTCCCTGGTCTCTGGGTAGTGAGATCAGGATGCCCATGTGCATTGTTGCACACATACAAAATCCCTTGGCAGTTGGAAATCGAAAGAGTAGCCTAACAGCGCTGCCTGGGCAAAATGTTGAGTTAAAAATCTACCCAAAGTATTTCAAGATCCTTGCCAGTGCTAAAAAGCATGTGCACTGTGCTGAGCTTCTTCGGATTCAGACTTGAGTTAGAAGAACGGAGAGCACTTATGGGTTACCACCTGTGTGCCATGATGTTGATCCGTTATTCAAAAACCTCAAACTTCAATGGCAGTATCTGCTACGAGACTAGCTACTGTGCTTGACCTAAATAAACAAGTTAAAGAATTTAACTATGAGGGGTTCTATACAGCAATTACTGATTATTTTCTACCTTCTATCTACTAATGACTGATCAAAATTTCGTCTGACTACAATTTTCTTCTTTCAGAAACTAAGATTCTACATAAAAATGCCTGGGAAAGCTGGTGAAAAAAAAATGGGATAAATTCAAGAAAGGTGACGGAACAGAGAAATTTCTGGACAATCGCTGATATCAACAGTTACAAGACTGGCACTATATTGGGCATATCCTGAGAAGAAGTGAGCAGAATATCCAAAGTCACTTAAATAGGAAACAGGTTGCCCAAGAAAAACCATAACACAAAAACTGCTGAGGGAAGCCAAAGGTGAGAAACTGGATTCTATCAGTGATATCAAAAGGACTGTAAGCACACAGGACAGACTGGAGGACTAGACTTTGAGCCCTATGTGACACATGATGGCGTCGTATGACAATATTCTACACAGGACAGACTGGAGGACTAGACTGTGAGCCCTATGTGACAAAAAATGGCCTGGCATGATAATCAAGATTCCAACCAGAGCCAATGATTACTCTATAACTATTCATTCTATACAATCAGCAATGAAGAATCTACACAGCATATACTTATGATTTTATCAATTATATTACTCAGCAATTACAGGGTACAGATCTTGTGACCAAGACCTCACTTCCCCTCCAAGCGGGGCATTCTGGACAGACACTTGTTTAGTCTCTATTGTGAGAAAGCCTGTTGAGGACAACTAAGTCTGCGAGACGGCAAGAAAACTCCCAAAATACTCCCCATGATGCTAGCAGACAATCAGCACCGACATCTTGCATTCCTCTCTTGCTGTACACACATGCCGTGATTGTATGTAACTGATTCACAGAACATATTGAGAAAGGTGGAGACAGGCATGCTCTGTGCAGAATGGCAAGCATCACTTCGGATGTCCTGGGTACTTGGCATCCAGGTCATGCTGGTGTGTTGAGAAATGAGCAGGCAGATAGAATCGCCGGTTCTGCAGCACCTGGTGGTGAACTTATGTACGACCAACTAGATGTTGTGAGCTTTGGGAGCGGGTGAACAGTGCGGAGGCCCAGATAGAGCACTACGGTCTGAGGAAAATGGGGCTACGGGGAGTTACCTGGGGATCTGGCCGACGCTAGACACTCAGGGGAAAGGTGAGAGAATATACAATAAGACAGTTACTGGTGCCATCGGACTTGGAACTCTCCGCCTGCTGCTGAAGATAGGGATATTTATGGCTAGGCCATATTTATTGCCCGACTATATTCAGGGCGTGGTGTCCGTAGCTTAGGTGTTGCGAGTCCAACTCGTAATTCCAGCATACTGTGATCGAAATCCACTGCTGGCTGCATGGATTTTTATATCATGGTATGGGGCGTTGCAGGTCGACCCAGCCTAAAATGGGTACCAGGATGTATGTCCAGGGGAATTAAAGACGGCCGGCGTAATGCTGACCACATTACCCACCTAGTGCCGCCTTGTCTGTAAAAATATGGGTGCTCTTCCCATATGTCTGATGCGCCTGAAGGCGTGAAAATGGATCTTTACTTTTTTTTAATAATCAGAGCTCCCGTCAAAAGCTGAGATGGGGCTTCAAAATAACACAAGAATTGCATCGCACAGGGGACGATATGACCTAAGTATTGAAGGTCATGTCCATCCATAGTTATACAAACATCCACCCGCATATACACACAATTTCAATTATTTTTGATACAGATGATCTTCCATGCTATGACATCACACTGTCCAGTATCTTATCTCTGGGTATCTCTCTGCTTATTATTCCCCCCCTCCTCCTCCAACTGTCCCACTGTCATGATGTAATCAAGCTCTCACCTTCCTGTTTCTTGTTTGCCTACTGGAATAGAAATCAAGCTATAACCAGCCTCTAATTATTATAGAAAAGTGGGGGGGGGGGGGGGGGGGGGGGCACTGAGGAGGTTCTACAAAAACAGACTTTACATTATTAATTCTCTACACAGACATGCTAGTATTTCTACAAGTTCACAATTGTATGTAAGAACAGGATCTGTTATATTTTTGTAAAACCAAATACCCAATACCTGTATCACTGTCAAGTGTAACTGCAGCGCCTGTAGAGCTTGAAACAAAATGCCGAAGCTCTGAAAATTTCAACCATACAAAATTACTAGTTAGTCGTTGCACAGAATGACCACTGTTCATTATTTCTGTATTTAGAAAACTTACAAAATTCTAGTGTGGGAAAATTTACAGCATGTTTTAAAGACAGAAGTTAGACCAATCTTAACTATCAAAGCTTCTGTAAACAGTAGAATATATACAGCGTTAGAGAGAAGGTGGACCAATGTTAATAAATTACTATAGCATCTGTACACAGCAGAATATTTACAGCATCTGTTAGACAGAAGGTAGACCAAAATAAATTACTATAACTTCTGTACATAGCAGAATATTTATAGCATCTGTTAGACAGAATGTAGACCAAAATAAATTACTATAACTTCTGTACATAGCAGAATATTTATAGCATCTGTTAGAAGGTAGACCAAAATAAATTACTATAACTTCTGTACATAGCAGAATATGTATAGCATCTGTTAGACAAAAGGTAGACCAAAATAAATTACTATAACTTCTGTACATAGCAGAACATTTATAGCATCTGTTAGACAGAAGGTAGACCAAAATAAATTACTATAACTTCTGTACACAGCAGAATATGTATAGCATCTCTTAGACAAAAGGTAGATCAAAATAAATTACTATAACTTCTGTACATAGCAAAATATTTATAGTATCTGTTAGAAAAAAGGTAGACCAAAATAAATTACTATAACTTCTGAACATAGCAGAATATTTATAGCATCTGTAAGACAGAAGGTATACCAAAATAAATTACTATAACTTCTGTACATAGCAGAATATGTATAGCATCTGTCAGACAAAAAGTAGATCAAAATAAATTACTTTAACTTCTGTACATAGCAGAATATTTATATCATCTGTTAGACAGAAGGTAGACCAAAATAAATTACTATAACTTCTGTACACAGCAGAATATTTATAGCATCTGTTAGACAGAAGGTAGACCAAAATAAATTACTATAACTTCAGTACAGAGCAGAATATTTATAGCATCTGTTAGACAGAAGGTAGGTCAAAATAAATTACTATAATTTCTGTACATAGCAAAATATTTATAGTCTGCATTAAAGAGAAAAGGTAGACCAATGTCAACAAATGAGCAGAATATTAACAGTAAGTGTTTCAATAAGAAGGCAGTCACACGTTAATAAATAACTGTTACAGAATATTTATAATATACATTCATGAGAAAATGGGCCTTCATGGCAAGAACAAAAGGAAACATCATTCAAGAAACCAGCGGAGCCTTTGCTGCCACCACAATGGACTCCATAGCTGTGAAGAAGACCCTAGAATGGTTACAGACATGGGAAATCACACACGCTTGTTTTCTCAGTGATTCTATGAATGTGAATATGATAAACAATTTTAATTAGCAGGTATTTGGCCAAGCCACAAAGTAAATATGCTGCTCCACAGACACTGTAATAATTTGGAGGCAGCAGGTTCAAATGCTGATGTGGTCCTGTTCACATTTCCAGGCCCAGGATTAGAGTAACTTCCCTTGCCATCCCTACCTTCTTATGTGACTGGACCTCTCCTATGTTGCGGGGGTGTTATGATATGGCTTGCTTCGGAGTTCGCTCTGCGTATATAATGCTTGTGGGAGGTTGTGTGGTTGTGAGTCTATTTCAGGCGCCTGTGTACAAGTAAGTACTGCAGGGGGAAGCACACTGGCGCTCAGATTCTTTGCGATTGAAACTAGGATGTTTTTGTATTTCTACGTTCACTGGTGGTGCCCCCCCCCCCCCCCCCCCCCCCCCCCGCATCTCCCCAAGAGATAAAAGGCAGTTACAAGGAGTGTAGGAATAGAAAAATATTGCTATTTCCATAGTCCCAAACCATCGCGCAGGTAGCAGAACGTGAAAATAATCACGCAAGTGAGCAGTCAGAAGATGAGAAAAGAGGCAACAGTTAAACCGTTCACAATAAGGAAAATATTACTTCCCCGCAACATAGGAGAGGTCCAGCGACCTAAGGAGGCATGAATGGCAAGGAAAGTTACTCTAATCCTGGGCCTGGAAATGTGAACAGCAGCGCTGATGTTTACCTTTAACTCTTGTACCCTAGTAGAAGGAAAAGCCCTTTAAATGCAATTTTAGGTTAACTCAGTCAAATCCTGATCTCCAAAACATCTGCACAGGCAGAACAAACCACAGCATTAACTATGTCTCATAAACAGGTCACTATAGACAAGTCATAAAAGTGACATTTATGGGGAATAAGGCACAACCGGAAAATGCCAGTTTTAAAGCTTCTTGGGGCGAAAGGGTTGTTATATTATCTGCAAAGTAATATTATTCCAACTTTTTTAAAGCTTCTATGCCAGTAAATAGAACAGAATAGAGGAATAGACAGCTAGACCAATGTGACATATAAACAGCACAACAGGGTAACGATGAAGTTATTAAGTAAGGCAGGGCCCTTTACACACTACTGGGCCTATGGTAGTCATACATACAAATCAGCACTCACTGAGTGAGGTGGTCGATATCAGGCCAGCTGCCTTTACTTCTCAGAAAATTTTTATGGTGCCTAATTTTAGGCTGTCGACCTGGCAACTCTAAATCAATAATAAAAAATCCCAATACCACCGGGACAATAGGCAAGCACCTAGGGACTGCACTACTGCAACTCCATTGTGTCAATCAATATTTTTTTTAACATATTTTGCATATAATGTTATTCTAAAATAATAAATGATGAAGAAAGGGAAAATATAATTCACTTTCAATATCTAGCTCAGTAAACAGAAATAAAGACTGTTCAAAAGAAGCTTCAAGGATGATGGCCATGGCAATGCAACAATTAAACAGCATTAAAAGTCTATGGCTAAAGAAATAAAAGTTAAAGTTTTGAGAGAATGCATCTTTCTGTAGAAACATATAGATATGAGCCATAGACTATCTCACAATCTTTAAAGAAGAAAATAAAAGTTTTTCAGCTGAAATACTATAGAAAGATTCTTAGAATACTATGGACCAAGAAGAAAAGAAATACTGACATCCTAAAGGATATGAACATCATGGAGGATTGGTTCATAGACAGCATCTTGTCTCAGAAACTGAAATACTTTATCCATATCTAATGCCACATTGGAATGGGAAAAACAGTAGTGAAGAGCATGATGCCAAGTAAGAAGGACCAGGGTGGACCAGTATGAAGACGGACACTGGACATAAGATATATTTTGGACAGGAGTGTGCATGAGGCGGGACAGCTGACAAGGGACAGAGTTTTTGTTTCAAGCAGACTGTAATCACAGCAAAGTTCTGTAAAGAACATGCTAAATAATGATGAAGATCAACTTATGCAACAAATCAGAAGGAGCCCACACAAGATAACTAAATCCATCTTCCCCTCTCCCCAACACTCTGATTGCAATTTTGCAAATCATCATTCACTACAAGGCTATAGAAGAATTAAGATGTAAGTCTGGTAACAGAAAGCCTAGGTGATTAGCAAACAAAAAAACAAAACAAAAGTCTTTAAGTAAAGTCTTTAAAATGCATTCACTAGCAAATGAACACATCTATCCCACCTGAAGCTCTTCTAAGCCCATCACACTCCACCTAGTGCAACAATTAACAAATATACATAAAGCCATCTGTAAGCTTTACCATAATCATTGACATCTGGCGCCACGTGGGATGAGTAATCCATGTATGTTGCATTCCAGCTGGTTAACAAAACGAAAACTGCTGTTAGCTGGAGGTGGTATTGAGTGATTTGCACAGACATGACATCAAGTACATGAGGCACAACAAAAATTGTTAGTTTGTGGGGGAATAACGATATCAAGGTTCTGCTGGTGATTATCATTCAAAGCCTGTGTTACCTGTCAGGTGAGACCTCTGTGTGTGTTGTGTGCAAGCGGGAGAGCCTGGGTAGGTAAACACAACTGTCTTAAAATAATCAATAACTTAAAAACACAGTAACACATGTCTGTATTTGAACTGGTTTTTGACAATGATTAATATGTGATCTTTTATAAGGCTCAGTATTTGTCAAGTCTTCTTCTTCTTCTTCTTCTTCTAATCTGTTACACTAGGTGGAGAGTGATTGGGCTTGGAAGAGTTTGATGTGGAAAGAATGTGTTCATTTGCTAGTGAATGCATTTTAAGGACTTTACTTAAATTTTAATTTAGTTAAGAAGAAGAAAGAAGATTTGTCAAGTGTGTGCTGTGTACAACTGATGGCTTGTACAGATATACAAAAATAAATCAACAAATGAACCAACAAATGAAACACATGGGTGTCATGCAATCAGCTGATGATTGATTAATACATGATCCTTTTTTTCTCTAACATTCTGCTCCTGGGCAGGATTATGGTATAATAATGTAAGAATGCACGTATGACTGTAAGAAATTATCACTCCTTTCACATCATCACCCTGTTGTATTTAGAAATGGCACAACGGGCTCTATTATGTATTCCTCAATTTCAACCTATTCTGTGCAATCTTGTCAATATCATGGGTGGAATCAAGTCCAGCACCTTTAGCCCCTCTCATCAATGTTCATTTTTTATTGGTTCTCTTGGACATCCTTTTTTCTTCAACCCAGTTGTTTCTAACTGACTCCCCCCCCCCCCCCCCCCCCCCCCCCCCACCAACAACCCTCACTAGGTACGACAGTACCACTCCAAGCCACTTGTTTTGGTGCAATTAACATTTCTTAGCCAACATAACTGGCACATAGAAACCAGACCACAGTTATAACCGATAGTGCTCACAGTAGGTTAAATGTGGTTGATGTTTTGTTGTTTTTAATTTCATAAATGAATGATGGATTTGGTGTGATTTTCTGTCTGCTTTTTTTTTTCAGGACCCTGACATTTTCTTTGTAGTATTACAACAAGTACAACATATAAAGACAAATCACTGTCTCATAGTCTCAACAATTTTCTTTACCAACATTTTAAATTGCCAATGGCCACACACACATGCACACACACAAAACACAAGCATGCACGCATACACTTAGTAGAAAACAAGTGCTTTATCACAGTTTGTTTGTGTCTCTTGCTAAACATTTAGACATAAAAACAACGCGCGTACACATAATTATTATTCTGTCCCATGTGTTGCGTTTCTTGGGACAGAAAGAGTTACTCTCAACTATTTATGAGAAAATATATGGGAAGAGAAGGTGGCAAGGAAGGGAATCCTCCTCACCATGCTGCAGCTTAGTACATGTATATGTAAAAGCCTAAAACATCATACATATATGAGAGTCATCATCATCATCATCATCATAAACCACGTCTGCCATTAAGCGTTGTGAGGAGGAATAATGTGCAATCCAGTGCAAGTTGGCTGGCACTGGCTTTTGTCATGGTGTGACCGTGTAAAGTATCTTTAATGTTGTCGGTCCATGTTTCTGCGTGGCTGTCCTCTTGATCTTGTAGCTGATCTTCTGAGATATAGTGCCTGTGATGGTATTTGACAGTGCTGCATTCAAACGAGATGGCCAAACCACTTGATCTGTTGTTTCTCGATGAATCTAGTACAGGGTGTCGTTTCCACAATCTGTCTGACAGTATCATTATTCACTCGATCCTGCAGGGTCAGGTTGGCAGCTTTTCTCGGGCATCTCATCTCGCAAATGGTGATTTTGCGTTCGTTAGATTTAGATAATGTCCATGTTTGGCACTGGTAAACTCAATGTTAGAATGAAATTGCTGTTTATAATCTGTTTATCTGCACTCAGGTTAAGATATCTATGACAGTGTCAGCTAGGATATAGTTGCTTGCTTTTATCGATGAATATCTCTTAAATATTCCTCCAAGTGAAGATCTTCCTCTCATGTGTTGTTGCAGCTTGGATGTATGTTACTGTATGTCTTCTTGTTCTTACACATTCACCCTTGAAAAGACGGTTGGTATGTTGTGTTGTGGTTTACAACAAGGCTGTAATCACTGACCTTTGAGCGTAACACATTCGATTTCAGCACAACCTTACTTTTAATAAGTTGCCTTTTATAACATACTTGCTAAGGTGTAGTGGGCCTATTGCTTTTCATCCCTCAAAATGAGGCTTCAAATCCCACACTGGCCCCTAATCCCACACTTGCCCCTAATCCCACACTTGCCCCGAATCCCACACTTGCCCCAAATCCCACACTTGTCCAGAATCCCACACTTGCCCTGAATCCCACACTTGTCCCTAATCCCACACTTGCCCCTAATCCCATACTTGCCTCGAATCCCACACTTGCCCCAAATCCCACACTTGTCCAGAATCCCACACTTGCCCTGAATCCCACACTTGCCCCTAATCCCACACTTGCCCCTAATCCCATACTTGCCTCGAATCCCACACTTGCCCTGAATCCCACACTTGCCCCTAATCCCCCACTTGCCCCTAATCCCACACTTGCCCCGAATCCCACACTTGCCCCAAATCCTACACTTGTCCAGAATCCCACACTTGCCCCTAATCCCACACTTGCCCCTAATCCCACACTTGCCCCGAATCCCACACTTGCCCCAAATCCCACACTTGTCCAGAATCCCACACTTGCCCTGAATCCCACACTTGTCCCAAATCCCACACCTGCAGCGAATCCCACACTTGCACGAAATCCCATGCTTGCTTTTAACCAATGCTGAATTTAGTCATAGGCTAACTAAGCTGCAGCTCACAATCCATAGGGGCCTCAGCAAATTTTAATTTCTTTTTTTAATTTACTAATACAATTTTCTATTAATGTAGCCTTAATGAGAATTACATTAACATAATTTCTGTGATTTTGTAGATACATTCTTTATTATTTCTTGTAATAAAATTTTATAAAAGGTAAACGACAATATATTACCATCATCCATACACATGTAAAGGGGGGTCAATTATTTTAGTTTTCTGGATTTAGCTGGTGTAATCTGAAACAGTAGGCATCTCAGAGCTTTATACAATTAAGCACCTCATCAGGTCTAAATCCAGCCCAACATTTGACAATGAATATCTACTAAATATTCCTCACATGGGGATCTCTCTCTTCTCATTAGCTGTTGTTGCTTGGATGTATCTTACTGTATTTTAGAACTTCTTCTTCTTCTGCCCTTCAAACCCCAATGGAACATAGACCCTCAACCAGCTCACCCCATGTCTGTCCTCCCCTCTTTTTAACTAGTAACAATTCAATTGTGTGCTCTGCCAGCACTTCGAAACATGTTAATTACCTTTTAGCCCCTGTTTTTCCATCAAACATCATTATTGAAAACTCTGAAATCACAAACATTTCATGAGAAACATAAGTCATTACATCATAAATGGCAGCTGCAACATAAAGGTCAATTATCTTTTTATAACATTGCAGATACAGTTTATTGTTAGTAGTTCAGAGGCAGACATGGTAGAGGAGTGGGTAGCTGTCTGCTGGGCCAAAGGTCTTAGGTTCAAGGCACATTTTTAATAAATGACAGCCTGCCTCCTAGGTAAAAGCATCATGAAACAGACACCCATAAATGTCCTGGGAAGTAAAGGTGGCCAGCATGCTCCTGACACTGTACTAATAACACAAACCAGCATGCTCCTGACACTGTACTAATAATACAGAGTCCTATTCTTCTTCTACTTCTTCTCAGCATTCTGAGTCCTTGAGGTTCACTGCTGCTTGGACATTACAGTTTTAATCCATCTGTTATTTTAGGCTTACACATCTGCTTCTGGATGAAATGAGGTTTCACAAGTTTCCTCATCATCATCATTAAGTGCTTTGCCGACTAGTGTGGGTGATCACGCCTTTCCCCAATCTGTAATCGGCAACAGCAGTATCAGTTCCGACACCCTTCCATGCATAATATTTTCCTTACTTACTTACTTACTTAGTCGCTCCTCTTCTACCTTGGGGTGTAGAGGTTTGCCAGAGAGATCGCCAGACGTCTCTATCAGCAGTTTTCTTTCTGGCTTTGTTCCATTCCAGTCCTCTGTCAGTCAGGGACTGTCGGATGTTGTCTTCCCAGCGCACCCTGGGTCGTCCCGGAGGTCTGGTTCCCTGGTTCTTAGCCTCCCATGCTTGCCATGGTGGCCGATTTTCTCCCATTCTGCACACATGTCCAAACCATCGTAACTGTGACTGATCTACTCGGGTTAGTAAGGGCTGGGTATCAAGATCTTGAAGTATTGTCTGATTGCGGACTTTGTCCCTTCTTGTCACTTGGACCACCTTTCTCAGGTATCTCATTTCCGAGGCCTGCAGCTGGCTTCTGTGAGCTGTTGTCATTGCCATTGACAAGTCATCCATAAATTTATATCTCTTTGTTCTCTTTCCAGTGCTCTTTTTTTCCATCAATCTTGCCAGTCATTGCCACATTTGTGGGTCCATTCCTTTTCATATTATATCAACATACTAAAAACAGGCTGTCATGCTTAATTTCTCTAGAAAGTTTGTGGTTTTCCTCATTGTGTTATGTTGGGAAATATCAACAAATATAAGTGGAAATCTACTAACCGAAAAGAAAAAAAAAGCATTCTTGACTTCAAGTTCTGTAAGTTCAAAATCTGCCAATAATAATGGTCTTACCAGTTCTGCCTATGTATAATAAATTTTCATTGGATGACGGACAGACTTTCTGAGCTCCATCTGATGATAAAGTCTGTACTTTAGCTCCTGTGATAGGATCAATGGCAATCCATGTGTCTTTCTTTGATCCTAGACAACATTTTAAAAAAAAAGTATGATCTTTACTGACTGTATTTACCACACTTTTTACAACTCTGAAGGTTGTACAGGATTCGGGGAAAGATGACTAAGCTTAAGTATTAAGGGCTGTAATGCGTTATAGTTCACACACACTGCAGGTTGTGGTTCTTAGTTTACCCCTAAGGGAAAAAAATGGACATCACCTCATTCAGGATTTGAATTCGAGTCCTCTAAATGATAGTCTAGCATTTTAACCTGTTGGCCAGCCGGTCCTCTCATAAACCGATAAATAATCGTTCTCACACACCAACCCCCTGCACTTTTCTAGCAGAAGATAGATGCGGTTACTGAAGATGATATGTGTGACTTTGGGTGTAAAATAACATACAGAACTTGTATAAGTCAAATGAGGTCACGACATCTTGCACTACTGTTTCTTACTTTTACCTATATCATTACTTAGGGAAATGTTTGCAAAATGGATGGATATCAAAAACTTTGCAAACGAAGTACCACCTTAACAAGGCAGGCCCAAACAAGTCATAATAGCATTGTCTGGAATATTCTGACAATTTTGCATTTCTAAAACATCATAAGGAGAAGGCAGAAGCAAAGTTTGTTGGAAAGATTATTATTAAAGTCAAACATGACGAACCTCAACCAGGTCCAAAGTAGGGAAGAAGACCACACAAAAATAGAAACAGAAAAAACACTAGAATTTATTGGAAGGGGACTCTCCTTTCAAACAATAACATGACCTCCCTATCCCTTCTCAATATCATCCTAGTAGACACACGACTCTTCTCTGCAAGTTAAAGTGAGGTTATATTTTGATTTGTTTAATCTAAATGCTTTTATATTTACGTATTCTAGTATTAAGCAGTGTTCAAATTGTCTTACTCAACCCCAGCAATATATATGTCACTAACAATAGGATTATTTTTCCTGGGAACAGATTAATTTTTCTCTTTTTATTTCTTATGGGGAAATGTGTTTGTTATACATCCTGTTTGGTATACATATTGTTTGGTATAATTCCAAGGTTCTGGAATGGATTAACCCTGCATCCTTATATTGAGACCTAGTATATGTAAAGATGAAATGCGTGATGATACATGCTGCTAACATATATGTGTTTAGTGGTCCTAGATATTTATCCCATGATTGAAAATCTAATTCCATCATCCCGACTGAAACAACTTTATATTTTACACAAGGATCTCTAAGGTAAGGTGGTCAAGCCATTTGCCTAGAACTCTGAAGTTGTGGATTTGTTTAACAAATGTGTCATTCATTTCAGAAGTGCAATTTTTATGGAGATTCCTGGAGGTTATCACTAGTGCTATGGAGTTTGTAATTTGTGCTGTGCTCTTGGCAAGGCAGCTAGCCATTCTGCAAAGAGAAGCCAAGCCATATAGGATAAAATGAGGCTATGAAGTTGATCCTCTCAACACAACAGCAAGACAATTCCCTCATGGCCCAAATGCCTTATCTGCACAGTTTTGGATTTTTTAAATTAAATAAGTGGTCATGGCTCCCTGGCCGACCTAGTCTAAAAGTTATCAAGAAATGTCTAGGGATGTAAAGGTGGTAGGTACTGACACCATCACACAAACAGTGTCGGATGATCTATAAAGTGTGGGTCTAGCACCATATGACTGATGCATCACTGAATTAAAAAGGGACCCTCAACATTTCCTAGGATGAACCTTTGTGCAAGTGGCAATATGTCCAGAATAATAACATATATTTAAAGCCAAATTGTCTTGTTCCCTGCCCCACAGAACAATCCACCTGTCACACTTATCTCATGTATAGCTAAAACAAGCTTTGTGCTGATTTTGACAGTGGTATCGAGAGCCGACTGTTCAGTAGGCAATGGCAAACTAATGAATGTGAACACTGCCTAGTGAAATTTCAGAAACAGCCATAAAATACTGGGGTTGGTTCCGCAGTACACAACTTTACAGCTTTAACAAGTCATGTAAACTACTTCCAAGTTCACCCCTTAAAAGTTGGCATGTTGTGTTGTGGTTTAAGCTAGTCTGTGATATCTGTGCCTTTCAACGCAACAAACCCTATTTCAGCAACTCGGGGAAGGGGGGGGGGGAGATTCCACATAGGGGGATTTATGTAAACAATCCAGAGTTAGATAACATAACATTCCTGTGTAATGGAAGTTCCTGTTGATTTTATCAACAAGCTATCCTACTAGGTGACTGCAATGTTACAAAATACACATCACATGTTCAAATTACAATACACAATGTCCCATGTTCCCATTAGCAGTTCCAGTTTATCTCAACAAATAAAACAGGACAAATTTCTTCTTCTTCTTCTTACAGTCTATGCCATGTGACGTTGGTAGCCATGTTTTTCCACAACCCTCTATCTCGTGTATTTTAAATCAATTCTGACACAGATGATCTCCCATACCAAGATGCCAAACTGTCCAGGTCTTCTCTCTTGGTCTCCCTATGTCTCTTTTCTCCTCCAACTTTCCCACTGTCATGATATTCTCCAGTTTCTCAGGACATGACCAAAGAATATAGTAGATTGTTTTATTCCAGGACAAATTTTCAAACAATCAATGTACACCACCTCATTGTTCTTCTAAAGCCATGTGGTTCACATTTTTTTTTTTTAAATACCCACATCAACAGTGTCACAAGACAGGCAAATAGTCCAGCCACTATGCTACTACCGTGTTTCATCAAAATAAGACATGGTCTTATATTAACTTTTGCTTCAAGAAAATGCATTAGGGCTTTTTCTCAGGGAATGTCTTTTTTTTCAGAGACAAAAACCTACATTTATTTATGTATAAAATTCAACATGTATTCAAATACGGTCATGTCATCTTCTTCTGGAACAACTTCATATCAGTGACATATCTGAAATTATGAATCATATCTATTCATCATCAAGTGCACACCAGGGTGTCAGTACTCTGACTGGCCATTTGGCAACAAGTTTCTCATTCTAGCTGACGACCTTAGTTAGCACTTATTTTTGGAGTAAGATTGAAAGCATCCTGGAAAAAAATCTTGTTACAGCTTATTTTTGGGGTAGGGCTTATTTTCAGGGAAACGGTATTCTTGAAAGGACAAATAAAATGGGTTTTTTTTTCTTCTCCTCTGGGTTTATTCCATAAGGATCTAAAGAAAATCAGTTTTCATACTTCATATTAGAGATAGCTAGCACATGAGACCTGGACCTTCAAACATGAAACAGAATAAGACACCAATATTTTAAGGTGAATACATCGCGAACAAATACTACACATATACCAACTTATTTTTCCCATAGAAAGTAACTTAAGAACACAGCATAGCAAAAACTAAAAGAAGCAATAAAATGCTAAGCTTCGTAATTAAAGATTTATTTACACAAACCTTGTGTTAAGTTAGCAAGCATGACATACAGGGCTGTTTAACTATTGAATTGGAATCATGAAATGAAGTAACTGGACACAAATAACTCCAGCTAGTAATATGCAGAACTTGAGTAATAAAATCTGGGGTGGTATAATGATTAATGTGATGTTCTTTCTTTCTAAGAGACAGATCTTTCGATCCAAAAAATGGCAGAATTTATGTCCAAACAATACTGTCTAGGGGTCGCTTAACCTCACAAAATGTATACCTTTTACTTTTAGTAAATTTTTAAAAGTATATGTGTAAGAAAGGAGTGGAAAAAGGAAACTGGTTACACTAAACCACTATAACCTAGCAGTGTGTAAAGTCTCCTATTTGGGAGGGGGGGGGGGGGTAAAGATAGGCCCAAAAACTGCCCTCAAACAAGCATGTTGTACAGGGCAATTAGGGGATTTGCTGAAATACAGATGTGTGGGCCAAAAGGCACACATTTCAGTCTAGGCTGTAAACCACAAAACAACATGCCAAAGGACAATATTAATGAAGATGAAATTATGAACAGTCATGCTAATGTCTAGATATGTCACAGCTAACTGTCCTGGATACTTGCCAGGATAATATCTGGAAATTAATGACCACTGTGGGGATATTCAAGTCTACTGCCCAGATACTTATGGCTAACCCGTACATCCGAATTCTTCTTCTTTTTACCACAGGTGGTAGACTCAACACCTAGTTAGTAGGACAGGCTCCCCTGACCTAAGATTAATAACTGTTTCTCTTCTCTTCGTCCTGATACCAGGTCAGGGTCAGGAGGTACTAGTTTTCTGGTTATCTGGCCACCTTGACTACAAACACTTGATACTTCTGTAGTTTTCCTGATGTTGTTAACTTTGCACTTTGTTCTCAGTCAACCTATGGCTTTACATGTCCTCTCCTCTTTTGGTTTATCCTGCCTTGTAAAGATGAATGCATAAAAAGGCATTCTCTCTCTGAGTGGACAACACCAATTTATTTGCTGTACTTTGTAAAAATTTACTAGTCTCTCATCATGATGCTCCTTCTTCTCTTCTGTCCTACGCTGCTTATGTTTATAAGCTTCACAATAGAAGAGGTAGATATAGCTTCCTGTCTTTTGCTAGTTTCATCGCTTATGTTAACGTCATTTTGCGTATTCTGCAGTGTTCTTAACATCCTTCCACCGTCCTCTCTCTTGGGTCAGTCTCTTGCCTTGTAGCCTGCTACTGGTCAGTAAAAAAAAAAAGTACGCTCTAGGGGCTGGCTGATTTTTGTCCCATCTGGCCAGAACGGCCAAGCCATTTGTTTATTGATGTTCTATGAATCATTTACCTGTACTATAGTGCCAGCCCATTGCTCTGAGATTTTTCATTGGAGACCAGTTTTCTTCTTGTTTTTTCCTGCCACATTTCTTATACATCTCATCTCACATGTTGTGATTTTTGCGTTGATGTTTGTTCCTAGGATTTGTCCGATGTCTGGTACTAACAACATCAAAGTTGGTATAAGCAGCAAATGGATCCAGCTGCTTTTTGGTGTGTATGGTGTGCATGTTGATATTTTTGATACCTTAAAATTGGCACTATCTGCTATCATGAAGCTTACCTGTATAAATACACACTTCAGAACTTTTGCAAGGAGCAGCAGTAGACAAGTTCTGGTATAGTGATGGCAGCTTTTGAACGGCCTCCAGGTGGGGCGAACTGCATAGAGACTGGACATCTCTTGGGATCCGGCACACGAAGGCTTGGTCTGTGGAGAGGAAATGATCTCATAAATAGAGTAGGTCATGGCTATTGAAATGGGTATAACTCACAAACATCACCCCATCTTGTCCGCCATGTGATTTTGTACAGGATTTCTCAGGACACTCCTATAGTCTAGGGGTGTCAGGTGTTCCTGATTTTGAGCGCTTCAAGCAGATTTACCACCGATGACAGCCATGAGCATAAAAACACAAAAACATCAATGATTCGATACTCATGAAGCATTGCGCCCTTGGCGCTTCCCCCTACAGTACTTCATCCTTGTACACAGCCGTCTTTTTCAACTGAGACCTAATCACAACAACAATACATTTGAGAAATGACAGTCATTCACAGAAAAGACAGCTGCTAAAAGAGAGCCCTACCCCGAGATCATTTTTTCAAAAATCCTGGGGTAAAACCAGTTGAAAAAATTTTCTTTAATTATTCATAAAGTGGGAAATCTTAAGGAAAATTTAATCATATTGGTTTTTTATACATCTTTTTTTTTACCGAGTTTCCCCATAATAAGTTGGGTTTACAGTAAGTTAGGGGGGTCCCTTACAGGGCATTGCCGAACCACCCCAAACATTATGGTTTATGGTTTTTCTAGACCATTTTTCATCAGTAGTTTGCCCGCCACTGAAAGCCAGCTCTGGAACCCCTGTCGAAACCCGCAAACAAACCTCCGCGCTAGGGTCCACCCCACCCGGCATTACGCGCGCGTTTTCAATGCCTAAGCTGCAGAAAGCCAATAAACCCACCGTTTCCTTTCCCGAGTATCATGGGTTTGGCCCTTTTTTTTTAAAGGTATGACCCGTACCCCTGGGGCAAAAACCTGAGAAGGGTTTTTATTTTAAACTTCTGCTGTCCAAACCCC